AATGAAAACATATGAACACAAAGAGGGGAACAACATACACCAGGGCCTACTAAAGAGTGAAGGGTGGAGGGAGGGAGAGAATTAGAAAAATACCTATTGGGTACTATACTTACTACCTGGGTGACAAAATAATCTGTATACCAAACCCCTGTGACATGCAGTTTGCCTATATAATAAACCTGAACATGTACCCTTGAACCTAAAGTAAAAGTTAAAAAAAAATTTAAAAAGAAACATAACTTTGTCTTTTCAAAATGGCATATGTTGCTCTATAATAATGCTGTTTCCAGAATAAAATAATCAATGAAGAATTTTCTTAGCTTAAGTATCTCTCTATTTCCATGTGTAGATGGTCCTTGGCTTACAGTGGTTTGACTTAGAATTGTTTTGACTTTATGATGGTACAAAAGCGATATGTACAAACTGTACTTTGAGTATCACATAACCATTGTTTTTTCACTTTCAGTACAGCATTCAATAAATTACATGAGCTAGTCAACACTTTATCATAAAATAGGCTTTGTTTTAGATAATTTTGCCCATTTTAGGCTAATGTAAGTGTTCAGAGCACATTTAAGCTAGGTCAGGCTAAGCTATGATGTTCTGTAGCTTAAATGTATTAAATGCATTTTCAATTTAACATATTTTTAACTTATGATGGGTTTATTGGGATGGAACTGTATCACAAGTCAGGGAGCATCTGTGTATCTAAGTTGGATTCTTTGCTGTTTATTTCGTGACTTTAAAATAATTAAATAAAAAGTGAAAATGCAGCTTATTACCTAAATGCTGACATTCTGGGTATCTGTTAGATTACTTCTAATTTGTGAAGGTTTTCTGAATAATTTTAGAATTGATTGGATACATTTCAGATGGAGACCTGTTTCTATGGCAACATATTGGGTTTACAGACTGAATGACTATTCCAAACAGCATTAACTAAAATTGCACATAAACAGAGTGAGTCCCCTCCCTCCCCAGAAAACACATTGAAAAAACAAAGAGAAAAGCTAGAGAGCGCTGAACCCAGCTGCCTATAATGATTTTCATACCTATAGATTGTCCTTCCTGGCCCTAGAAGTGATCAGTTTCATAGTCAGTATGTGCTCTCTGAGGGGAGAGGCCTCCTTATCAGGGCAGTAACAGAGTCCCAGCATTCGTTAGGTAAGGCAGTTGTTACTGGCACGTTGTTTATGGGAGAAACCTGCCAGAGGATATGAGCTAGACACATGAGTCAGAGGTCAATCTAAGATCTGGGCTATGAGCAAATAGTTAAGCTGCCAGAGCAAAAATAAGAGTGAGGACTGGGCTCCATGTGGAGAAACTGCTAGGGAGAAGAAAAAAATGGGGATATTTGGGATCGGAATGGAAACCATGGAGTTTTGAGAAGGTTACTGCTGTGCTGAGCTTCAGTTGGAAATCTTTAAAGAAAGAATTATGAACCACATATCGAAGTGGAGTTTCACTGGCTGATTAGTGTTGGGAGACAATTGTCCATGGGTCTTTTAAGTTTCTGCACATCTTATGCTCAGAGATACTGACTGATTTTTTTCCTAGATTATTTTTTCAAGGATGTCTGTATAGTGAACAGCCTTAGAAGGCTGTAATGGTGTCTTTATCTGGAACAAAGTAAAATTTGTTTACTTTTCATTGTAATAAAAATGCCTCCTTCCAGAGCAAGGCTCAACAGGCTTACTGCCCATTATAAAAGATTTGGGCTTGAGGTGGCTAGCAATGGTCGAATAGGAAAAATTTTGGTCTGCAGCTACCAGCGAGATCAATGCAGAAGGTGGATGATTTCTGCATTTCCAACTGAGGTACGTGGCTCTTCTCACTGGGACTGGTTAGACAGTGGGTGCAGCCCACAGAGGGCAAGCTGAAGTAGGGTGGGGTGTTGCCTCACCCAGGAAGCACAAGGGGTTGGGGAACTCCCTCCCCAGCAAAGGGTAGCTGTGAGGGACTGTGCCATGAGGGGTGGTGCATTCTGGCCCAGATATTATGCTTTTCCCATGATCTTTGCAACCTGTAGACCAGGAGATTCCCTTGGGTGCCCAAACCACCAGGGCCCTGGGTTTCAAGCACAAAACTAGGTGGCCATTTGGACAGACATCAAACCAGCTGCAGGAGGTTTTTTCACATACCCCAGTGGTGATGCCTGGAACACCAGCAAGACAGAACCATTCACTCCCTTGGAAAGGAGGCTGAAGCCAGAGAGCCACATGGTCTAGCTCGGGGGATCCCAGTCCCACAGAGACCAGCAAACTAACATCCACTGGCTTGAAATTCTCACTGCCAGCACTGCAGTCTGAAGTTGACCTGGGATGCTTGAGCTTGGTGGGGAGAGGGGAAACTGCCATTACTGAGGTTTGAGTAGGCAGTTTTCCCCTCACAGTGTAAACAAAGTGGCTGGGAAGTTCAAACTGGGTGGAGCCCACTGCAGCTCAGCAAAGCCTCTGTAGCCAGACTGCTTCTCTAGATTCCTTCTCTCTGGGCAGGGCATCTCTGAAAGAAAGGCTGCAGCCCCAGTCAGGGGCTTTTAGATCAAACCGCCACCCTCCTGGGACAGAGCACCTGGGGGAAGGGGTAACTGCAGGTATAGCTTCAATAGACTTAAATGTTCCTGCCTGCCAGCTCTGAAGAGAGGAGCAGATCTCCCAACACAGCACTCAAGCTCTGCTAAAGGACAGACTGCCTCCTCAAGTGAGTCCCTGAACCCCATGCCTCTTGACTGGGAGATAATTCCCAGCAGGGATCAACAGACTCCTCATACAGGAGAGCTCTGGCTGGCATCTGGTGGGTGCCCCTCTGAAACGAAGTTTCCAGAGAAAGTAACATGCAGCAATCTTAGCTGTTCTGCAGCCTCCCCTAGTGATAATCAGGCAAACAGGGTCTGGAGTAGACCTCCAGCAAACTCCAGCAGACCTGCAGCAGAGGGGCCTGACTATTAGAAGGAAAACTAACAAACAAAGGAATAGTATCAACAACAACGAAAAGGACATTCACACAAAAACCCCATCTGAAGGTCACCAGCCTCAAAGACCAAAGGTAGATAAATCCATGAAGATGAGGTAAAATCAGCACAAAAAGGCTGCAAATTCCTAACACCAGACTGCCTCTTCTCCTCCAAATTATCACAACTCCTTATCAGCAAGGGAACAAAACTGGACTGGGAATGAATTTGATGAACTGACAGAAGTAGGCTTCAGAAGGTGGGTAATAACAAACTCCTCTGAACTAAAGGAGCATGTTCCAACCCAGTGTAAGGAAGCTAAGAACCTTGAAAAAAGATTACAGGAACTGCTAACTAGAATAACTAGTTTAGAGAGGAAATGACCCAGTAGAGCTGAAAAATACAGCATGAGAACTTCATGAAGCATACACAAGTATCAATAGTTGAATTGATCAAGCAGAAAAAAGGATATCAGAGACTGAAGTTCAAGTTAATGAAATAAAACATGAAGACAAGATTAGAGAAAAAAGAATGCAAAGGAATGAACAAAGCCTCCAAAAAATATGGGACTATATGGAAAGACCAAACCTATGCTTGATTGGTGTACCTGAAAGTGATGGGCATAATGGAACCAAGCTAGAAAACACTCTACAGGATATTATCCAGGAGAACTTCCCCAACCTAGCAAGACAGGTCAACATTCAAATTCAGGAAATACAGAAAACACCACAAAGATACTCCTCGAGAAGAGCAACCCTAAGACACATAATTGTCAGATTCACCACGGTTGAAATGAAGGAAAACATGTTAAGGGCAGCCAGAGAGAAAGGTCGAGTTATATACAAAGAGAAGCCCATCAGACTAACAGTGGATCTCTCTGCAGAAATCCTACCAGCCAGAAGAGAGTGGGGGCCAATATTCAACATTCTTAAAGAAAAGAATTTTCAACCCAGAATTTCATGTCCAGCCAAACTAAGCTTCATAAGTGAAGGAGAAATAAAATCCTTTACAGACAAGCAAATGCTGAGAAATTTTGTTACCACCAGGCCTGCCTTACAAAAGCTTCTGAAGGAAGCACTAAATATGGAAAGAAAAAAACCATACCAGCCACTGCAAAAATATATCAAATTGAAAAGACCATTGATACCATGAAGAAACCACATCAACTAACAGGCAAAATAACCAGCTAGCATCATAATGACAGGATCAAATTCACACATAACCATATTAACCTTAAGTGTTAATGGGCTAAATTCCCCAATTAAAAGACACAGACTGGCAAACTGGATAAAGAGGCAAGACTCATTGCTGTGCTGTATTCAGGAGACCCATCTCATGTACAAAGACACACACAGGCTCAAAATAAAAGATGGAGGAATATATACTAAACAAATGGAAAGAAAAAAAAAAAGCAAGGGTTACAATCCTAGCCTCTGATAAAACAGACTTTAAACCAACAAAGATCAAAAGAGACAAAGAAGGGGATTACATAATGGTAAAAGGATCAATGCAACAAGAAGAGCTAACTATCCTAAATATATATGCACCCAATACAGGAGCACCCAGATTCATAAAGCAAGTTCTTAATGACCTACAAAGAGACTTAGACTCCCACACAATAATAGTGGGAGACTTTAACATTACATTGTCAATATTAGACAGATCAACGAGACAGAAAATTAACAAAGATATTCAAGGCTTGAACTCGACTCTGGAGCAAATGGACCTAATAGACATCTACAGAACTCTCAACCCCAAATCGACAGAACATACATTCTTCTTAGCACCACATCACACTTATTTTAAAACTGACCACATAATTGGAAGTAAAACATTCCTCAGCAAATGCAAAAGAACAGAAATCATAACAAACAGTCTCTCAGACCACAGTGCAATCAAATTAGAACTCAGGATTAACAAACTCACTCAAAACTGCACAACTGCACGGAAACAGAACAACCTGCTCCTGAATGACAACTGGGTAAATAACAAAATTAAAGCAGAAATAAATAAGTTTTTTGAAACCAATAAGAACAAAGACACAATGTACCAGAATCTCTGGGTCAGATTTAAAGCAGTGTGTAGAGGGAAATTTATAGCACTAAATGCCCACAGGTGAAAGCGGGAAAGATTTAAAATAAACACTCCAACATCACAATGAAAAGAACTAAAGAAGCAAGAGGAAACAAATTCAAAAGCCAGCACAAGACAATAAATAACTAACAGAGCAGAGCTGAAGGAGATAGAGGCACAAAAAGCCCTTCAAAAAAAATCAGTGAATCCAGGAGCTGATGTTTTGAAAAGATTAACAATATAGATAGACCAATAGGCAGACTAATAAAGGAGAAAAGAGAGAAGAATCAAATAGACTCAATAAAAAACGATGAAGGGGATATCACCACTGATCCTACAGAAATACAAACTACCATCAGAGAATACTATCCACACCTCTATGCAAATAAACTAGAAAATCTAGGCGAAATGGATAAATTCCAGGACACATATACCCTCCCAAGGCTAAACCAGGGAGAAGTCAAATCCCTGAATAGACCAATAACAAGTTCTGAAATTAAGGCAGTAATTAATAGCCTACCAACCAAACAAAAGCCCGGGACCAGACGGATTCCCAGCCAAATTCTACCAGAGGTCTAAAGAGGAGTGGTACCATTCCTTCTGAAACTATTACAAACAATAGAAAAAGAGGGACTCCTCCCTAACTCGTTTTATTAGGTCAGCATCATCCTGATACCAAAACCTGGCAGAGACCCAACAAAAAAAGAAAATTTCAGCTCAGTATTCCTGATGAACATTGATGTGAAAATCCTTAATAAAATGCTGGCAAACTGAATCCAGCAGCACGTCAAAAAGCTTATCCAACATGATCAAGTCAGCTTCATTCCTGGGATGCAAGGCTGGTTCAACATAGACAAATCAATAAACATAATTCATCACATAAACAGAACCAGTGACAAAAACCACATGATTATCTCAATAGATGCAGAAAAGGCCTTTGATAAAATTCAATACCCCTTCATGCTAAAAACTCTCAGTAAACTAAGTATTGATGGAATGAATGTATTGCAAAATAATAAGAGCTATTTATAACAAATGGATAGCCAATATCATACTGAACAGGCAAAAGCTGGAAGCATTCCCTTTGAAAACCAGCACAAGACAAGGATGCCCTCTCTCGCCACTCCTACTTAACATAGTGTTGGAAGTTTTGGCCAGGGCAATGAGGCAAAAGAAAGAATTAAAGGGTATTCAGTTAGGAAAAGAGAAAGTCAAATTGTCTTTGTTTGCAGATGACATGATTGTATATTTAGAACACCCCATTGTCTCAGCCCCAAATCTCCTTAAGCTGATAAGCAACTTCAGCAGAGTCTCAGTATACAAAATCCATGTGCAAAAATCACAAGCCTTTCTATGCACCAATAATAGACAAATAGAGAGCTGAATCATGAGTGAATTCCCATTCCCAACTGCTACAAAGAGAATAAGATACCTAGGAATACAACTTAAAGGGATGTAAAGGACCTCTTCAAGGAGAACTACAAACCACTGCTCAAGGAAATGAGAGGACAGAAACAAACAGAAAAACATTTCATGCTCATGGATAGGAAGAATGAATATCGTGAAAATGGCCATACTTCCCAAAGTAATTTATAGACTCAATGCTATTCCCATAAAGCAACCATTGACTTTCTTCACAGAACTAAAAAAAAAAAATACTTTAAATTTCATATGGAACAAAAAAAAAAGCCCACATAACCAAGACAATACTAAGCAAAAAGAACAAAGCTGGAGCTTTACGCTACCTGAATTCAAACTATACTACAAGTCTACAGTAACAAAAACAGCATGGTACTGGTTCCAAAACAGATATAGAGACCAATGGAACAGATTAAAGACCTCAGAAATATCACCACACATCTACAACCATCACATCTATGACAAACTTGACAAAAGCAAGCAATGGGGAAAGGATTCCCTACTCAATAAATGGTGCTGGGAAAACTGGCTAGCCACATGCAGAAAACAGAAACTGAACCCCTTCCTTACACCTTATACATAAATTAACTAAATATGGATTAAAGACTTAAATGTAAGACATAAATCCATTAAAACCCTAGAAGAAAACCCGGTCAATGTCATTCAGGACACAGGAATGGGCAAAGACTTCATGACCTAAACACCAAAAGCTATGGCAACAAAAGCCAAAATTGACAAATGGGATCTAATTAAACTAAAGAGATTCTGCACAGCAAAAGAAACTATCATCAGAGTGAACAGACAACCCACAGAATGAAAGAAAATTTGCAATATATCCATCTGGCAAAGGACTAATATCCAGAATCTACAAGGACCTTACACAAATTTACAAGAAAAAACAAACAACCCCATCAAAAAGTGGGTGAAGGATATGAACAGATACTTCTCAAAAGTAGACATTTATGTGGCCAAGAAACATAATAAAAAAGCTCATTATCACTGGTCATTAGAGAAATGCAAATCAAAACCACAATGAGATACCATTTCACACCAGTAAAAATGGCAACCATTGAAGTCAGGAAACAACAGATGCTGGAGAGGATGTGGAGAAATAGGAAGCTTTTACACTGCTGGTGGGAGTGTAAATTAGTTCAACCATTGTGGAAGACAGTATGGTGATTCCTCAAAGATCTAGAACCAGAAGTACCATTTGACCCAGCAACCCCATTACTGGGTATATACCCAAAGGATTATAAATCATTCTACTATAAAGACATATGCACATATATGTTTATTGCAGCACTGTTCACAATAGCAAAGACTTGGAACCAACCCAAATGCCCATCACTGATAGACTGGAGAAAGAAAATGTGGCACATATACACCAAGGAATACTATGCAGCCGTAAAAAATGATGAGCTCATATCTTTGCAGGGACATGGATGAAGCTGGAAACCATCATTCTCAGCAAACTAACACAGGAACAGAAAACCAAACACTGCATGTTCTCACTCATAAGTGGGAGTTGAACAACGAGAACACATGGACACGGAGAGGGGAACATCATACACTGGGGCCTGCCAGGGGGGTTGGTGGCTAGGGGAGGGATAGCATTTGAGAAATACCTAATGTAGATGATGGCTTGATGGGTGCAGGAAACCACTATGGCAAGTGTATAACTCTGTAACAAACTTGCACATCTGCACATGTATCCCAGAACTTAAAGTATAATAAAAAAGAAATAAAATAATTAGTGTCACTATTCAAAAAAAAAAAAAAAGATTTTGGCTTGCTAAACTTTCCTGCAACATACCCTACTACATGTGCAAGTATAACTTGGTCTTTTTGACATCACTCTGTGGAAATAGGGGCTCTGGCAGGAGTGCTTTTATTCTGGCTACAGCTATGAGTAATAAGCTGCCATTTGCTTCTGACCCAGGATTCTTGTGTCTTCAGCCAGCACCTGTAAACCTATGGTAGCATATCATGTTAGATCGCAAGTAGGGTAAAATCTCAGATCCTTCACAATTCTCAACAGTCAGTATAGCTTGGAAATGATCATCTTCCTTTGCTCAAGTATGGAAGTACTTTAAATGATAATATTATCACCTAAATCCCCAATAAAAATTAAACTTCAGGGCCAGGCACAGTGGCTCAGGTCTGTAATTCCAGCACGCTGGGAGGCCAAGTGGGCGGATCGCCTGATGTCAGGAAATTTGAGACAGACTGGCCAACATGGAGAAATCCTTTCTCTACTTAAAATACAAAAATTAGCCAGTTGTGATGGCCTGTGCTTGTGGTCCCAGCTACACAGGAGGCTGAGGCAGGAGAATCGCTTGAACCAAGAGAGGGAGATTGCAGTGAGCTGAGATCGCACCACTGCACTCCAGCCTGGGCGATAGAGTAAGACTAAGTCTCAAAAACAAAAACGAAAACAAACAAACAAAAAAACCCATCAAAATTGGAAGTAGGATTTGCAGTATCTAAAACAAAACAAAACAAAACAAAACAAAACAAAACAAAACAAAACAAAACACAAACAAAAAAAACACCACAACAAAAAACTGGACTTCAATTCCCTAAGCTCCCCTTACTGCAGAAGAGGTGTTGGGGTGAGAAGAGCTCTTGATCCTCTTAACTAGGTTTCCAGCATGTTATAAAAGATCTCCAGCTCCCCTGTTTCTCAATATCTCTAGTTTAAGGGCTAGAGATATATAATCTGTAATTATACATATGTGTTGGCATGCACTGAATTTTGTATTTAGTAATAGTGCCTAGTTTTAATCTTTTTGGCATGTTTGTACATTTACGTAAAAGTATTGTATAAGCATTTTGGCAATTTGCTTAGATGGCTTCATCAGTATGCTATACACTGTCACATGGATACTGACTTTGAACTGGATTTGCATCTTTCCACTCTTCTTTAGATCTGGCTGTTGTGAACTGACATTCAATACATATTATGCGACTTGCCTGGGTGTGATAATGTGTTTTACAAGCCCCTCCTATGAGATTATTATGACACATTAATATTCAGGATACAGAGAAGATATTTATGTGACAACGGAGAAAGATTACAATTTTAATTATAAAGTTAAATCTCTCTTATACAAGAAAGAAACATTAGATTCCAAAATTATTTCCTATTTTGTACGCTTGCAGAGGAACAAACAGATCCTATTGACAATTTGCTGCTAGCAGATATAACATATTTTGAGAATCTTTCAACCTGATTTCACTTCTTTTGCCATTGGTGAAAATTTCAAAGCTCTTGATCCAAGATTTTGCCAGTTTATCCCTCCTCCAGCCCCACCCCATCCAACACCATCATAGCTACTAAGTTTCTAAAAAAAAAAAAAAAAAAAAAAAGATGCTTGTAAAATTTCTAAAAAATGGAAACTGAAAAAGCTTCTCAACTCAGCAACTAGCTGGAGAGTTATTTCTGTTTCGTTCACCTTCAAGATCCTGTGTAACAATGTGACCTTTTAAAAAACACACAAATTAGTAGCTTTAATTTGCCATTCCATTCATACTACAGGAATATGGTAATTCTAATAGCATGGGCAATTATCTTGCCCATCTGTGCCTAATCTTGTCTTGCTAATGTATAATGATTGATGTAGAAAAGAACCTACGTAAATAGGAAACATGACCTATAATTCATAATTACACTGGTGTTGGTTTACACTGAGTCTGTATTTAGAAGTAGTGCCTAGCTTTTAACTCTTTGAACTGAGTTTTTGTGCAAAAGAACTATTTTACTTCAGAGAGTCCTTTATGTTTATATGGCTTAATTTATATCACTATTCAGAATGTTTTTCACAAGTTCCCAGATAAAGTGAAACTTGCATTTTTTTTTTTATTCAGGATGAAGCAAAGTATAGCCAGGGAAGGAAGACATCTGCATATTTAATGGCCAAATAAATAAATATAATACAACCATTAAGATGTTGAGGAGTTTATGCAATGATAAAATTTGCTTTGCTTTTCTCTCAGGTTATTCTTTTCTACTTTTTCCTTTGATAGAGCAGATGAAGCAGTTAAAAGGATTTCTTAAAAAATCTGACAACACTATTATGTTATGCTGATTATATTCAGTACCAATTTAATTTAAAGTAAAAGTAACTTAAACTTTTTTTTTTCTGTTGAGGCAGAGTCTCACTCTGTCACCCAGGCTGGAGTGCAATGGCGCCATCTCTGCTCACTGCAGCATTCGCCTCCTGGGTTCAAGCGATTCTCCTGCCTCAGCCTCCTAAGAAGCTGAGATTGCAGGCACCTGCCATCATGCCTGGCTAATTTTTCTATTTCTAGTAGAGACGGGGTTTCACCGTGTTGGCCAGGCTGGTCTCGAACTCCTGACCTCAGGTGATCCCTTGGCCTCCCAAAGTGCTGGGATTACAGGCATAAGCCACTGCGCCTGGCTGGAAGTAAATCTTTTTTTCCTCACGTTTGATTGTTAATATTCTTCATCAACTGGTTGAAGAGTTCCTAGCTCTGACTGTTCATGCTCACAAATATGAGTTAAAAATACTGTGAGAGTTCATTTATTTTCCACATAAAATTCACAGAAAGTCATCCTTGCTACTAGGAAACACTGTACTTCTTTTAGAGAACATCGAATCCAGAGAGGATAAATTATATCTTTCACATTCTATCATGGCTAGTTGGTAAAACCTGCTAAGGAATAACTTAGCTATTTTTGATGAGTACAACACTTTAGTGGTGTCTCATTTCCATGCTGACATAATGGCTAGCCAGGCTTTCTTCAGAAAAAGACCTTACAGAAAGCTCTGAAATGTGCTATGCCTAGATCTTCTTTGAGAAAAAGACATCCTAGAGATGAAGGAAACTCGATATCCCAAGACACCTTATTAAACTTTTTTCAGAAGATTTCAACAGTATTTGGTAAACGGCAATATTAG